AATTACCGGAAACCCTTCGATCGGTTTGCAAGAACTTGTAAGGCGGTCATTTGAACGATTAAGTATTTTACATATAATTAAAAGATTCAGATTTTATAGCATGAAGAAAGTAATTTTTAATTTACATTTATTTTCAAAATCACAAAATGTGTAACTCTGTATGAATCCTTCGTTACGACCGAAGACAGTTCTTCTTTCTTATTTACTTTTAAACCTAAGAAAATGTGAGAGAAAACAACTTATTTGAAATTTCTATAAGTCAACATTTTAAATCGAAACAGTAAAACTGTCTAATATTTACGAGCAATAAATTGTAGTTTCCATGCAGGGAGAGTAAGGCGGATGCAACAAAATACGAATAATTCATGTTTTTTCCATGAAAGCTGAGTTAAAATTAGAGAAAGCAACTTTCCAAAGCCAAACATGAGCGGGAGCTTAATTTCATTCAACTTTATAACAATAACGTGCCACGGAGCTGAAGATGAAGCTGATGATGTTGGCGCTGCGCTTGACTCCTGTTGAAAACGTGCTGCTAAGAATAACCCAAAGCTGTCAAAGGGAAAGTGAAAGCCACAGCGAGGGCAACTTGCATGAAAAGCATACTCGTAACATTTAAGAGACAGAGAGAGAGCGAGAGAGAGAGAGAGTGTGTGCTATTAAAAATAAATTCAAATAAATATCTTATGCATCATCTATGCACTTTATTGACACATAAATAGGTATAATGATGTGATGTGGTCGTGTTTTGCAGCACTTGCTGGCGCGATACTTCATTACCCTTTCTGTTGAGTATTTTTATTTTTGGTTTTATCAGCTTGCGGTCGCCCTCTTTTATCACAAGAACAATAAATTTATATAAAATTACATATTGCATGATGCAGAAGTGTGGATTACCGTTACTAGTGAGGCAGTGCAGTGTGCTTTTGCTGATATCGGTACATACGCGTGTGTGTTGTGGTGTGTGTTGCCTAGCAGCAGGGAAGGGGATAAATTTATAATTCATTAGAAAAGCGGGTCACTGGTTGTCGAAACGCATTTAGAGATTAACGTAGTTGTTGGAGTACCTCAAGTAAGTCCACATAAACTTTGAGCCGTTTTGAGGTGATTTTTTTACCGCAGGCATTAGGGTGCTTTGAGGTGTATGTAAGAGTTAAAAGTTACTCATCCCTTTGGTAAGTGGAAAAGCCTACGATGTGGGAAATCTGTTGAGCGAAAATTACTGATTCCTGTCAAACCAACATTAGTTCTTCAGTCACCATTGGATACCACTTAGAGGTAATTTGAAGCAAATTAGGAAATCTTATCTACAACTTCAACATGAAGAAAACTTATTGAACGCTTTTTTATAGTTTCAAGTAAATATTTGGCTGAGAAGTGAGACTCAAAAAAAAAATAATAATAAAGCTACAATTGACCGCGAGGTTGAAGTTTCTATATTCGCTGCCTAACTTTTACCAGGGAAACGAGTGTAGATAAAATTATTGGTTGAACAGTACTTTTTTTCAGCCATTGGCGTAGACAACAGGGGGTCAAGCTTTTCTTTAATTTTAGCTAATTAAAGATGTCCATTAAATCCAGGTCCTTAACAATTTAAACTTGCTCTTCTTCTGCTTCCACCGTCAGCTAGTTGCAGCGGTTAATTCAAAGCTTAATCATAACCTCGGTAGCATGACCGCTAAGCTTTGCTTCGCTCCTCGTTCTATCGTTTACCGTATTCACCGCGTTTAATGCCTAAACGACCATAAAACTTTTACAAAACCAATCCTTTTGTAAAATTCCACTCAGCAGATTTTAGCATCGTTCAGGCTAACGCACCACATAGCAGAACGGGAGTGGTGATGGATTTCTACAGTTTGGTTTTTGCTGGTCGAAAGAGATCTTTATAGTTCATCCGCCTGCCCTTTCAAAGTAGAACTTGCTGCTGAGAGCGATTCTTCGCTGGAGTCATAGGCTAACATTGTTCTTCGTGTTATTGCTACCAGACCTATTCCTTTCTCTTCTTTATACTCGTACAGTCTGAAGAAAGCAAAACCAATGCTGTTTTGTGTGAGGCCGAAGATGTCAAAATTTCCAGCATACGCCAGCACGAGTATGCTCTTATAGAAAATGGCTTTTTTCCATCCCTTTTACGCTATGCATTTTCCAATAATTTTTTCCAACTTTGAACTAAAAAAGCACCCGATAAGATAAAGGTCTACTTGTAGGAAGCTTTTGTATTGGACGGCTCAAAAAGGGCATTTCTCAACCCTTATGGAAGCTCTTCTTATTAAAGGCTTCTAATACAACTGATCTATATTGAGATTATCCAACTACCGAGCAATTTCGATGTAAATAGTTGTCATAAAGGGATTAACAGATATGCAAAACAAAAGCAGAGGTATTTGATTTGCCATTATACGGAATAGGTAGTCCTTCGCAGGTCTCATGGAGCTCATTGACTCATTTTTCAACTATAACAATGTCATCCTTTAGGAGTCTGTTGATTGACTACGAATGCCGCTCCGACTTGTGATGCTTTACGGTTCCATTCAAATTACGTATATCACAGTGTGATTTCATTCTGTGATTTAATGCTAACTAAAGGCAGAGGCCGCGCAGTTAAAGCGCAAATACGTTGCTATTAAAATGGTCGTTATAAAAAGTTGTTCTTTTACAATGTTTAATATGAGTTGTAGGCAGATCTGTAGTTTGCACAATTGAGCTCCATTATTTCGCGGCACGTTGCCAAGGCAACTTAGTTTATGATCTACTGGAGTATTCTCACTGTAGACCCTTTGCGGAAAAAAAATAGATTTACTCCTTGAGACCAGCAGTGGTCTCAGTAGGACGCTGCGAAAATTTTATTCAGTCGACTTTTGTGAGCTTAAGCTGAAATACGCATGCTTATATGGATATCTTAGACCATTTGGTGTTTGACAAAATATAAACTCCATCAAATCCAGGTAGATTTCATTAAAAAGTACATTACAAGATCCTCAATTTATGCGAGAAACTCCCTCTTTTGAGAAAATTACACTAATTAGTGGCTTTCTAAGCAATAATAATTTCACCACTGCCATAAAAAAATGCTAAAATATAAATTCTTTTTACAAATCAATTAACGGAGGACCCTAATAAAGACATGCTCTTCTCTAATCTATCTCTATACCTGCATTCAACATGCTCGAACTTGGCTATTTTCGTTCCCACTCTGTATATCTGACGTACTCATGTCAGCGCACTCATACATATGCACATAATTGCGTACACACGATTGAGATGGCTAATGCATACATAATATTTTTTAATATATTTGTGTACCCATATCGCAAAGTTTTTTTTTGTCTGTGAGCAGGTGTGTGTTTGCATCCGTTTTCCTGTTTATTTGCGTTACTCACTGACGATGTTTGCCTGGCAGTTGAGGCGCATTTCACTATCCGCACTTTCCACTATTGGTATTTTCCTCATTTTAATCCAGTTCATATTCATTGTCAGGTATGCATATTGTTAGTACTTATCAGCCGGTCGACATTAATTCGTGTTGCACAAATGCTTTGCTCCGAAATTATTTGAGAAAAAAAAACATATATTAAAATAAAAATTAAAAACAAATAAATCAATAATAAAAAAAATATGTATATATAAAAATTAAAGGAGAAAAGTATCGGTTTTTCTCATACATTTGTGAATAGATATATATATGTGGTACATACGAAGAAGAATTTGTTGATTTTTGTCAATTTTTGGCATGGAAAAAATGCCGTTAAAATTTTGTTAAAATAAAAATGAAGAAAATAAATAATGTACAAATAAAGGTATTTTTTGTGTCAAAAGCACTGTGTAACATTTTCACCAATGTAATGAAAATTAATTTTGTTTTTGATTAAAAATATTTTCGAAAGATTTACTCAATATTTTTCAAAAATTAAAATAATTAAATTTCTATATTGTTTAATATTTCTGATTTTATGGCTGCTATGTAGTTTTTGTATCAAAAAAAATTAAATGTTTTTATTTTAGAATATTTTCAAAAGATTTACACAATGCTTTAAAAAAATTTTAAAATATGTGTTTCAAAATTTTTAATTACTTTTTTCTAAATTTCTAATTTTTCAAAATATCAACATTACTTTTTTCATAAATTTTTCAAAATTTCTTTTATGTTAAGTTTTCAAAAATTCTTTTTTAAATTTTTTACTATTTATTATTATTTATACTTTTTTTATTTGAAAATTTTTTTTTAAACTTTATTTTGAAATAATTTTTTTTTTGCAAAAATATTCCAAAAAATTAAATAAACGTGATAAAATAGTTCTTGTTTGATTGTTTGTTAGATTATTCTTTTTCTAAATAAATAACTTTTCAATTTTTTTTTTGCCAGATTTTAATATTTTTTCTAAACCTAATATTTTTTTTACAATTTTATTATAATATTTTAAAAATTTTCAAAATTTTAGTTTCAAAATTTTTCGAATCGATTTCATTTTTTGTTTTTTTTTTTTAATTTTAAATTTTTGTTAAAAATTTCTTTTCCATTTTTTTCAAATATATTTTATTTTGCACAAATATTCAAAGAAAGAATGAATTAATTGGAATGAAAAGGATTTTGATTCTGATTTTACTTACAGTTTTTTTATTGTTTCGTTGGAAATTTCTTACTAGAAAACTTAATATTTTTTTGCAAAATTTTTTTAAGTTTCTTTCCCGAATTAATTTTTTTTATTTTCTAAAATTCTTTTATAAAATAATTTTAAAAATCATGTTATTTGAGTTTACCAATTTTTTTTAATCCTTTAATTTCTTTTTTAAAATATATTTAAAAAAATATTTTTCAATTTATTTTTTTATTATCTGAATTTTAAGAAATTTTTTGTTGAAATTTTCATTGGAGAAAAATCAATTTGGCTCATGCCATGCTAATAAAATAAATTAAAATTACCAGTGGAGTTTCATAAAATAAAATTAAAATTAAAATTTCAGTTAAAAAAGTGTTGTTACTCAGTGCAAGAGCTCCCGCTGAAAGAGACAAGTTTTTTCGCCACGCTGACACTGCATCATACGATTCTCCCCCGCGTTGGTGTCAATAAGTGAATTTTTATACAAATTTTCGTAAGCAAAATCGCGTTTCGTCAAAGTCTTTTCGCGCGTATTCGCGTTATGCAGCTATTTTGCTGAGAATGTTAATATTAATGATGCCAACGGAGAAACCGCATCAGCAACTAAGACGCAGCAATAGAGATGGTAAGCGTGAAGTGTTGCGGTTGCATGGCTATAACGTTGTTCTTGTTGTTTTCCTTGTTGTTGTTGTTGCTGTATGTGGCAACCAGCGCAACTCACTTAGTTAACTTTTCATGTGAAAGCGCAGCGCTGTGTCTATTTTAAATAGCTACTCAGTTATCACACACACACACACATGTACAAAGTCATTCATCTTGCTTATAATCTTACCTGGCTTGTGCAACATCTTCAAAATGAAAACGCAGCTTCCATCCATCATCTATTTGCAGCAAACTGTTGCTCATCATTGCTTTGCTGCTCGACGTTTGTGCAATGTTCGCTCTTTTTCTTCTTCTTCTTCTGTTATTACTTAAGCTTTTTCTTCTTCATTTTATTTTAGTTTATTTTTTTTTTTCATTTTATGCATTGTCCTTGAGGTTATTGTCTGCCCTGTGATTTATTCGTCTCAGACATTCTTGTCTTTAAGGCATTTTTGCATCGCGCATATTTTATAAAAATAAAAAAGGTAAAAATACTTACACACATATATATTATTATAAGAATGCAAAAAAAAAAAAAAAAAATAACAGTGCGAAGTTAGCTTTAGGAATTTTATTTAATAAATATTTAAAGTAAGAAGAAATGTGCATTTAATCACCTTTTGTTGCTTTTGATATTGAAAATTTTCTATTTGTATGGTATTTGGAGGTTGAAATATATTTTTAAGTTATTAATTTGGGTAATTTTGCTGAAACCATCAGCCGTTTGTGGTGTTTAGTAATGGAAGGAAGATTATTTGTAGCAACATTGAATGAAATAAATCGTCGTCGAAGGGATGTGAGGTGGCACAAACGGTCTCCAAACCAGTATTGACAGAAAGGAAAGTGTTGTTGTGTGTTTGGTGATGTTGTCAATAAATCGTCCACTATGAGTTGCTACCCCAGTGCCAAGCTTTTAATTCGAATCTATACTGCCAGCGGACTGCTTAGGCAAATAGAAGAGGATTTGTCTTCTATCAGGACTACGCCAGACCAAACACGCCGATAGTGACTCACCAGAAGCTTAGAGACATTTCTTAATAAGTTCATCTGCATGCACGTTATGGTACGAACTTTGCAGCAAGTGATTGCAATCTGTTGCTGTGTTTGGCGAATGATTTGGCTGGTGAAGAATTGTCCTCAACAGAAGCCTGTGGAATTTTTTTTTTGCAAATAGGGACAAAAGTTTGCCAAAAAGAGGCATAATCACATTACCTCCAAAATGGAAAAGTGATGGCGAGCAAAATATTTGACACGCAGCGGATTATTTTAGCTCCTCAATTTATTGCTCCTCAAGATTAGTAAGCAATTTTTTTTATTTATAAAATAATAATAGTTCTTGAAGCTGCTACATCAAATATCCCCCTTCCAAAAAAGCGGTTTCCGCTGACCATTGCACTTCTGAAGTAAATCATCTGAAGTGAGAAAATAACAAACAGATTTCGTTAAAGTAATGCATAATCTTGTGATTAAGTGAAGGAATAAGCCAACATTTTTTTTACAAAATGTCAGTTTCTCAAAAAAAAAAAAAAAAAAAAAAAATTCTCCTTAATTTTTGAACTTGAATTGCGCATTAAAAAATATAATTTTCATCGGTAATGGAGAAGCTTCGACTTATCACAAGAAAATATTGTCAAAAGCTCGTGTAGAAATTTGAATTTAATCGCTTAAACAGTTCTCGAGAAATATTGCTAACCGAATTGAAAAACAAAGTTTTGAGGAAAACGTGGTTGCCCACCTGCTTGCCACTCCCAAAGGCTCTGACGCATCGTTACAAATAAACGTGTAACTTCCAAAATTATAGTCGGATCTACATATAATTTTCAGAGTATTTACTTGAAAACATGTACATCACGGAAATGAAGTTCGAAAAAATTGATTTTTTGAAAATTCTAACTAGATGTAACCCCTTGTGGAGGTCTTCCTAGCAAAGCGGAGTACTTCCAAAACGCGAGTGTTGTCGCCTATATGGACGACGTGAAATTATTTAAATAGCTACACTGAAACGATTAATTAACAAAATAGACGCGTCTTCTCTCAGTAAATAATCTTTTTGTATATAAAAATATTATATCCGTTTGGAAAAATCCTGTAAATCTTCAAGAATATGTAAAAGTTAGTAAAGATTGCCTTGAAATTTAAATAAAATAAATAAATTTTCTAGAAGTGAACCGGAGACTGGCTCAACCAAAACTGAATAAACCACTCACAAAACTCTCAAAAAAACTTTTTTTTAATACGAAATGTCACTTTTCTAACGCTGTCAAGGCGAACATGAATGGACTTCTACATTACGCCATCTATTGGAAACCAATGGATATCCCTTTACTACACCTAATATGAGAAATCCTGGGCTACTATTTTTCCAGTTGGACAAAGCAGTAGAGGCTTTAATTCGATATGGAAGTCGATGAAAGTCTAACAATAAAGAAAATCCAAAGTTACGGAGAGTCACACTCGAGAGCCTTCACTCAACATATAACTGAAATTACAACTACTTCCCCCTCCACACAGACACATCATGAAGGTAGTATTAGATAATATATTCTCCATGCAGCAGCTAGACAAAATCCGCTATACAGGACTTAACGCAATTAACCGAGAGTCCGCCAACATCTTAATAAAATCTCTTTCTGTGAATGACGTTCTCACTGTTTGCTCATGCGGTATCGAAAAGACTTTAAGTCTTTCATTTTTGCTGTAAATTTAATGTAGTTTCTATATTTGCACAATTTGACTAAACACTTTTGTCCAGCTTTCATGAGCTTTCGCTATGTATAAAAGCAACTGTCATTATTGCCTCTTTCGACATATCAAGCCTGTGAAAAGCCGAATTGAAGCTATGATTCCTTGAATTTTTGATAACGCGATGAATTTATTTTGTACAAAAAACATGTATTCAAATTTTGTTTGGTATTAAGTGTAACTTCAAAGCATTTCTTCCTAGAGTTTAAGGCTTAAATGTGTTAATTTGTATTTAATTAACTATTTATGAATTATTTCAAACTAATTAATGTCTAGTACTGCAGGTAATTAATAGATGGCATTATGATGTTTTTGTACATATGGGGAATATTTAATTATATTTTCATTAATATTACAATACGAGGGTTGCCTTTTACCTTTGAAGATTGCAGTTTGAGCATTTAAGAAACAATTACTCGCACACTGATTTATTGCTCATTGTTAGAAAATCGACCAATTCGAGTTTGTTGGACATTTTGAGCTTTCTATAATTTTAAATTTATTTATGCAAAGTGTAAAACAGTTACCAGTCGAAATGCTCGAATGAGTCAACGAAAACTGGACTCAACGGATGGACCATCTGAGACGTAAAAGAGATAATCTTCAAAAAATAAATGTGAAAGAATGTTCTTTCGAATGATATTCAATAAACACTCCCCATTAAATTAGAATTTTCTGTGTTCTTTCGTTAAAAACTTAAAAGGTAACTCTCTTCGACGTATATATGTATATATATATTTGGTGGAATATATATATAATATATATATATATATATATATATATATATATATATATATATATATATTCCGGATTTAATTAGTATTTGATAGAAATTTAGGCGACTTAACATTTACAAGAGACGCATATGCTTTGCAAAATTGACTTTATTTATGTAAAAGGATACATATATCACCCGCATAAATCATATATGTATTATATTTATATATAAGCAAATATTTGTATTAATTAATGATTTATGTGTATTATTGACTACCATTGACAATGGATTTACATATTTATGATAAACTTTTCATACCTTTACAGAATAATATCTACCGACATACATATGTAGATAGTTCAACACACATATGTATATATGTACATTATTCATTGAAAGCAATTGCAAACATTAAATTAATGCAAACCGGGCAAACAAGTCATATTGAATCAATTTTAATTACATATACACTCCCATTTATATATATACATATATAAATAACCAAAAGCAACACTATTTCCATACATATTTGCGGCAGTAATAAATAAATAACTATGTGGTAACATTAATGAGCCCAACACGCGAGTGAAAATGTACAAAATGTAGAGTGGCAAATGAAAAAAATATTTTTAAATGAAAATTTTGCACTTCTAATGACATTCTCATGCATAGTTAAATATATAATGTACTCGTCTATAAATTACTGCTACTGTAACTACATACATATATGCACGAGCATTTGCTTATGAGGGGAAAGTCCGCCACTGCCTGAGGGTTGCAAAGCGTATTTATCTAAATTAAATGTTGCATTTACTGTCAATATAATGATTTATATGCGTTAATACGATGCGTAGCGTTATCTAAAGTCGTATATTAAGCGCACCCTATTTTAACGGCACCCTACTGTAGCAACCAAGAACTCGTTCGAGTACGAGTAAAACAAAAGTGGGAAAGAAAAAGCTATTTAAGTAGCAACGTCGTTATCTCAGTGGTCTATTTTTATGAAAGCAAAAAAAAAAACAAAAATATATATATATGTGGTTATACAGTGAATTGCGCTTTATTATATTAATTATAGAATTACTAGAAGACCTCCGACCACACGCCCAATTTAGATTTTATCATTGGTATTAGTAATTACAAGATGATGGGGAAAGAATAACGAAAAGTCCTATTTAAGCCTCAACCAATGAAAAATATTCAATTTTTAGTTTTAAAATATATTAAAATTTTAATTTCCTATATTAAGACTTTATTGTGAAAAAATTGTTATACATTTAATGTTCAAAGTATTGCTCATCGGAAGCTACGATGTTTGCCCATCTTTCTGGCAGTTTGTGGATCCCATCCTAAAATAACTTCTCTGGATTGGAGATCAAGAAAAAATCGGGCCAATTTTTGATACCCGGTTCTGAAGTGAAGCGTACTCCGGTGAGGGCATTCTGCATTGATCTGAACAAGTGGTAATCGGAAGATGCTATGTCTGGTTACAAGGAGGGGGAGGTAGAACTTCCTACCCACAGTTTTTCAAATAGTTTAATTTGGACTTTCAATATGTGACCGAGCGTGGCCATGATGAAAAATTATTGATTCGTGTCTGGTCGCATATTCTGGACGTTTTTCCGCGATGGCCTTATTCAAACGAATCAATTGTTTTCGGTAGAGGTCCCCATTGATCGTCTGACCCGATTTTAATAGCTCATACCCTTGTGGTCCCACCGAATACATAGCATAACCTTGGCACCATGTATATTCGGCTTTGCCGTGGATGTCGATGGTTAGCCGGGCTTCACATACGATCTCGTGCGCTTTGGGTTATCATAATGAATCCATTTTTCATCGCCAGTGGCAACCCGATGCAAATGTGACTTCTCTTGGTGGGGTTGAAGTACGTGCGGCTTACTAGTAGAGCCCTCTCTTAGTAAGCCGCACGAATTAATGTCTACACCCAATATATTATTGATCTTGGCATGGCATTTCAAAACAAGGTTTTCTGCTGATACTTCTATCGATAGCCGTCTTGCACCCACAGAGTCGTAACGTCCGATATCTCTCCTCCTCTCAGTAGCAAAAACATTTTAGAACTTGCTGTTTTCATCTTTCGTCCACAATCTGAGCAGTAAAAGTGCCTTATTCCCGTATAGTGCACAGCACCACCTTGAAACTTGAGACATCCATATAACTCATCGGCTCAACCAAAATGTACTGGCTTTAAAACAATCACTTACTCAGTGGTACTATTGGCCATTGAAGCCTGCTCATTACTGTCGGGTTCAAAGAGTTGGATCACGTTAGACGGTCAACGGTGGCATTTCTACATATCTTATCCATTTTCCATTTATTTTTGTTGTTTCGAAACTACTTACACCTGCAGAAGATTCGTTCTCTGTCTCATATGCTGATAATTACTCGATATTGGCAATACTAAACATTGCCCAAAAGCTCGTTCCGGAAATTTTGATTTAGCAGCTGCTTCACGGAGCTCGGTGTGAAAGGCCTGTTGAAGAAAATGTCGGAAAAGCACTGGGATAAAAATTGTACAAAAATAGTTTGCAACTGCTTGAAAAAGGCTGGATACACAAAGAATTTCGAAATTTGAACTTATGATCAAAATTCCAACCAGAAATCGCTGCTGAATCGTAGCAAGAGCGATCTATATGTGAAGCGAATGACGGTCAGTAAATTTATCTTCTGAATGATTGGCAAATAACCATCCTTATGGGCTGTTCTAAAAAGCCTGGCTCTTAAAAAAGACCTGCACTGTCAGTATTTGGGTAGTTTGGCCAACCGGAGAGAAACTGTGTTTTTTAGAGCATCGTCGCATGGGACACGTCGACAGAAGCTCAGAGAGCCTTCATGGTGGGTTCTCAAACATCCACTTTATAGTCCGGATCTTGTTCTCTGTATCCCTGATTCAATGTTGAATTATTCTTAGATTTCTTCAAAAGACCATGCCCTATCTCAAATCATTTTTTATCCGTTCAAAAACCCAGTAGCCGGAAGAAGCAAGATCTGCTGAATATGGTAGGTGGAGTAAAAAATTTCTGCATTTCCGGTTACTGTTACCATCACTTATGATCGAGGTTTGTCATGCCTTTAGTTCGTTTCTGGTCGTCGTATAATGCAAAGCACGGCTCAAGCGTATTCGTTGTAGACGGTAATGTTTCACCTCGTTGGCGCAGATCGCCATCCAGTAAAGCCATAAAGTCAATTTGCTGATCTTCATACTTTTTGAGTTGTTCAGGACTCTCCTTGTTTTTCAACTCTTCAAACTTTATAGTTCGGCGAAGAAAAGAAAGGGATGCTGATTCATAGTACATAGTCATTGTGAAACGGGTTATTGCTTCCAAGATGTGCCACAACTTTCAGGTGAAGCTTTTCTTTAAAAATTTGCCAAAATTTATTTATGTCCCCCAATATTTTCATTTATATGTTTCTTCGAAGCCGGTCAAACCGCTCTCTACTTATAAGCATAAAAATTAGCATCACTGCCTTTTAGTGTAAAGATAGATTAATAATATTGTTGAAATTAAAAATATTAATTATTTTTATGCTTCTTTTGCAGATATTCATCGTGAAAAGAAATTATATAAAAGACCCTACAATCCAATGCCAGCCCGAAAGGGGCTGCTTGCGCCCCAAAATACCTTTCTTGATACGATCGCAACCCGCTTCGATGGCACACGTAAGTTTATTGCAAATATAAAACAATAATAAATATTTATTAAACATTTTTCACTTTTTCACAAATAAGTTCTGGGTATTAGTATTAATATTTTGAGCAGATGTCATCGGAACTACCCCACAAAGACCCTGGCGGCATACAAAAAACTGTAAGGGAATTCAGACTTAAAGTATAATGCGACCGAGAAAAGGAAATCTTCAGCCCGGTTCAAGCAACCTATTCGCTCCCTAGCAGGGAATAATGTACGCCATCTGTTATGCTGAATATATCCTCATCTATACTGATGGGTCTAAATACAAGGTACAGGAGCTGGGTTCTTCTGGGATCGGCCTATATAGCCAGGTTAACTTAAAACTATAATTTTGGGTTTTCAAAGACAGCCAAGCGGCACTTGGATCGCAGTTTACATGAAAGCAGAAGGCAGCATAAGCTGTTCTTTGTCAAGCGACTTTTGTGGGAGTCATATTATACTGAACTATTAAAAACTGAATTCAACTTTTCTGCCTTTTATGCTCATTTAATTGAACTTAAAGAGCATCCTCATATACTTCCATATAAAAACTACTTCATCGAAACTCAAACGTGTCAATTATAGTTAGTCGTTTCTGCCACCCACAGCATATAATAAACGTACTAAATTTAGAAGATTGCTAGTTTTGAACTAGTATACAACTAGTATGCAACTAGTTTGCTTTTTCACACTTAATACTTCGTCCCTTATCTTTTCCCCACATTTGCAGCTGATTTTCTACGAACTGTAAATTTATGTATTAGTTTTATACTAGTTAAATACTAGTTTATTTGGGCATGTTGAATTTTTACTTTACCAATAATTAAAACAAGGTTAACCTCTGTGGAGTTTCAACTAGAATTTCTTCACCCAGGGGGGTGGCTTAAGAGCTGTACAAGAGTGTTTAGTTGTTATGTGCGTGTGTATGTATGTATTTTGTTACACAAACATTCGCATATATGCAACGGTTGGCCAAAAGCTCTTGCTAATCCACTCACTCCACTCGTTCGTTGGTTCATTCGCTCGGTCGCTCGCTCGCTGACAGTTAAGTGCTGCTTAAGTGTTTATGACTTAAGAGTGTTGTTGCTGTTGTTGTGTGCTGCGGGACTTGAGCTTGGTAAGCGTGTGTTTGTAGAGCAAATATATAATGCGCGCTTAACTGTAAGTATTAAAGACAAACACACACACATACACACACACACTCGCACGCGCACACACAGCTAGACACATACACAATCAAACTTCCGTTATATATGAATTGCGCAAGGAAAAGGAAAATTAATTTAATTAATTGCAGGCAAGTACGTGCTTAAATACGCTTGTAGATATGTATGTATGTATACATGAAGTTGGTTTTTAAGCAGTAAATCATATATAGATATGCAAATACATATGTAGGTATGTTTGTTTATGTAGAAATGACATTAGCGTCGCACTTTTGAAAGCTTTTTAAGAAAAACACAAAATGCAATTTGTTACTTTAAGAACCAAAGAGTTAATTCGTTTATGATTTGGTATCCGATTATGTATACACATTAATATATATATATATATATATATATGTGATTATGCATGTAAGTATATATAATGTTATGGTAATGGCATTAAACGCCGCAATACTGCTACACAGATTTCTTCGATGAGCTTTCAGCGAATCTGCATTTGGTTCAAGGATATGCAATTGCAGCCCACACTGGCGATATTTCCTTTGCTTCCTTTCATTTTCTCATTTAATCACACTCGTACATACATAGATGTGCACTGTGGAAAGGTATGCATAACTGTATTTATTTTGGTGCTTCGTGGGTTGCGTTGCGTAAATACAGTTTATATTTACTTTTCTAGTTAACCCTGATGCGATTTAATTGTCCTGTTGCTATATTCTTTGTTTGTTTGTATTACCCTTTGCGTCACGATGACGTGCTGCATTGTTGCGTTGCGTTGGTGACGCTCAGATTGCATGGATTTGAGCTGAGAACGAAACGTGCAACGCCAACTAATACTGTGATTATGCATTTGAGCTCTTTAGGTTTGAGTAATGCGCTTCGCGGGGTTCTGCAATTTCGGATTTAGAACAAACAGCGGGTTCTTTGAGGGATTTCTGATTCCAAATATAATCGTAAGTGGTATACCCTTTGCCTGAAAAGTTCCAGGAATTAATTGTATGGCCTTTAAAGTTGCTCCCTATAGAGTTGAACCAGGTCAAGGTGCTTTTTCCAATAGTCTTTTTGAGTCAGATCACGCGTGAGTCGTGCCAAGTGGTCATATTATTTTTGTTCAGTATTGTTTGGCAATTTCTCATGGAAAGGCTTAGGCCTGAGCAATGCTTACAAATCGCTCAACTTTAATACGAAAATTCAGGTTCCGTAAAAATGTGTTTCGCGCGCTTCACTCAACTTATGGTCAGCATAATTGGCCTACCGAGTCTACAATTCACAACACCATTACCCTTAGTGAGACCCAGCATGGATAATATTAAACAAAATAGACCACATTCAGCACGCAGTGAAGGAAATATAGCGGTCGTAGCTGAGAGTGTACACGTGGACCTTGGAGAGTCGATTCGGACTGACGTATGAAACGACTTGGCACATTTTACTCCGTGACCTTAAATCAATAGCGCACGTGCAAGAACTGAAGCCGCTCGACCTAACCAAGCGACAACGCTTCGCTCTACGAGCTTTTGAAAAGTTCTAAGAAGATTCGACAATTTCGAGCCAAATAATGTTCAGCGATGGGACTCCCATTTATGGCTCAATGGGCATGTAAACAAAACTAATTGGCACATTTGCGGTGAAGAGCGACCTAAGGAGATTCAAGCGCTGTCATTTCATCTAGAAAAACCAAAGGATTTGGTGTGGATTGTGAGAAGCGGGAATCAACGTTCCATATTTCTACAACGATGCTGCCGTTGAGAACGCAAACATCAATGGCGAGCGACTATTTGATGCCTAAAATTGAAGCTCGTGACTTCGGTGACATTTGTTCTCCACAAGACGGCGCCACTACCCATACAGCACATCAATCAATTGATTGAGTCGGTGAGCAGTTAATTTCATGGGCCACCAAAATCTTGAGATATTACACCGTTAAAGTTTTTCCTGTTGTGATTTATTAAGTCTTAAATCTATGCATACAATCCCGCTTCGATTCGGGCTTTGGAGCAAGTCATCACGCATGTCATTCGCCAGTTAGCAGTCGCAATGCTGGAACGAGTCATCGAAAATTGAGCTCAACGAATAAACCATTAGAGAAATAGCGGTGTGCACTCTTTGAAAGAGTTAATCTTCCAAAACTAAGTGCAACGGAGTGTTCCTCATTAAATTTGGGTTTTCTGTGGTTTGTTCTTTCTGGAAATGGATAGCTCTTTATAAGCTGGACGGCCGAATTTCGAAAAGCTTCTGCAAAATATGAACAAAATAGTGTTTTGACTTCGCCAAGTTTGTAAATAAAATTAATTGAAAAATTCCGGGAGCTATGATCCTCTGGAGTCTTTCAAATACCATTATTGAAGCAGTGCGACGAAGCACATCGTCACCTTGTTGGGCTTGTTAATTGCGAAAAATGCCGATTTTGTGGTTTCAGAGAACCCACATGTGAGTGTCGAAAAACAAATGCCTAAGCAAGCTGCCACTTTTTGGTGTGGAGTTTTGGCTGGAGGCATAATATGAGAGCATACTTTTTGGAAAATGGTGCTGTTCAAACAGTGGCTGTTACTGGTGCTCGATATCGCGATATGATAACCCGTACTTTGCTATTGATGAGACGATGATAGGTTTTCGAGGAAAATGTTCGTTTCAAAACCTGACAAATATGGAGTACAACTTTATCCGCTTGTAGACGCAGCTACATTTTATATCTTGAAAAATGAACTTTCTGCCGGCAAGCAGCCCCAAGGCCCATACCAGTTAAGTAATGCTACAGAAGACAACGTGAAGAGGCTAAATACACCAATATCTGGCACTGTGCGAAACCTAGCAATCGACAATTGGCTATAAATCAAAAGATTTCAGTTTCGCCATTTCGGAGGAAGCTGCCTAATAGGTCCAGCAACAAAAAAAAAGTACTGGTTTAAACAGCATCATCACATCAGTTTGGTCCATAATTTAACCACGAATTTCTTTCATTTTATGGTCAGTTTCATCGATCCACTGAAGTGGCTATTCGGGCTATTGTGCCCAAATTTACATTGTTGGACATTAAACCACCAACACGCTTACGTAGAGTGCGAACTGAAGATAATATCGCAGCTGAATCGGACAGTGTTAATGATGACCTTCTATTGTATTATGGATCCCTTGCCGCTTACAACAATTGGGCCTCTGTTTCGCAACAACGTGGATAATTTTGTGGCAGGATTCAGGTGTGAAGTCTTTCAAAATACTGCTGGTGCAAGAGTTGAAGTGGAACGACCGACCGCAACGCAGAACTTTAGGTGAATGGACTTTTGGAAAGTTGACCGAAGATCTACTTTTTTTTTATCGAAAAGTTGTGTTCAGCGACGAAGCTAACTTTTGGCTCAGAGGCTGCGTAAATTAGCACAATTGTCGATAGTGGAAGGTAGATCAGCCAGAAGCATTTCAAGAGCTACAAATGCATACAAAAAATGAAGAAAAATTCACATTTTGGTGCGGTTTATAGGCTGGTGGCATCAATGGACTGTACTCCTTCGAAGATGATGCGCATCGTAACTTAACTGTGAATGGTGACCGCTACCGTGAAATAATATCAAACTTTTTTTTGCCCAAAATGCAAGAGCTTGACTAGCAAGATATGTGGTTTCAGCAAGACGGTGTCAAATACCACACAACAAGCGTAACAATGGACTTATTGAGAGGCGGGTTCGGTGAAAATTTTATTTCACGTTTGAGACCGGTCAATTAGCCTCCTAGATCGTGCGATTTAATGACTTTTGACTATCTATTGTGAGTCTATATTAAATCTAATCTCTATACCGACAAGCCCCCTTCAATTGACGCATTGGAGTACA